TTCTATTATCCATTGGAGTTCGCACTTATTTTACCCAAGGAAGCCCTGTCAACTCCCATGCCATTATCTACGCACCCCTGTCTTCACCTACACAAGCACTAAAGCCAAGGCCAAAATGACGGGAAAAGCTATTTTTAACGTTTAAGACTCTCCTCCTTTAAACTGTCCCTCTATCTCTTTTGTAAACAGAAAACACAATAGTAATGATACAAGAGTTAATGGGGGTTACCCTCTGAGTAAACGGCCCCCTAGGTTATCCTGGAGAAAAGAGAATGACTTAGTCAATTAGAAAAAGCCACTCAAAATTGTTCAGTGTATTAACACAATACAGGATGAAGCAATAGCCTAAAATATAATAAGTTCTCCATTCACCTTTTCCTGCTGGTTGGCAGAACCAAGATTCATTAACTATTGGGTTGTTGGAAAAGCCATGATGTATTTTTTCTACGTTTTTTCGTTGCAAAAATGCGTCATGGCTTTTCCAACAACCCAATAAAAACTTCAGAATCTAACAAGAGTGAAATCCATTGTTCCAGCCTTGTGCCAAGCTATGTGGTTCCAAGGTGAGCTCTGGAAATCGCAGAAAGTCAACTAACAAGAGAAGATAGGTCTGAATGACTTGACTGGCATAAAATGTCCTTCAGCATCCATCTATTCTCAAGAACTGAAATGCAATAGAACATCAATCTGGTATGTTCTAACTTTTTAGTCAAATGATCTGTTGAAACTTTGAGATAAAAACAAGTCAGAGTTGTAGGTCAGTTAAAGTAATGAGGAGCTTTTGATGAAAAAGTTGGGAAGAATGATAGCTTCCAGGGAATGAGAACTATGGGTCTTTTGAAATAAAGTTACTTCATAAAGTAATTCAAATGTACTGGAATCTCCTATATTTGGACCATCATCTATGATGACTCACATTGCCAGAATTTACTGATGCATCAATGCTTGGTCCTCCCAGGCAAAGTGAAGTGAAAAAAATGAGTCAGTTGCTTAGGTAAGTCATCCTAAAATATCAAGCTAATGGAGACAACAACCTGGCTTTACTTAACTCTACTTGCCTGGATTCATTTGTAGACTTAGATAGGGCCCTGGATCTCAGTGGCAATTGTCTGCCCATTAAAACACAAAGGAAACAAATGAAATCATACTAGTAACATAGAAACCATGGGCTGGAAATGTACAACAACTTCCAATACTACTGTCTTTCCCTGACGTACCTATAATGATGCCTTTGGTTACTCTCTTCAACTAAGCCTACTATATTCTGAAAAAAAGTATTGTCCTCACTCAGCATCTGTGCTCTAATATTTATCTGTGCTCTAATATTTATAATGATAAGTAAAACCCACATTCTCTCATCCTAAAACATCTATGATTGGTGCTAGTAATCATTTATGAAAAATTAACCACATTTCTAGGAATGTAATTAGAAGCACAAATCTGCCTTGATGGTATCCAATTAATATGAGGCCTTCTTTGTACAAGCAAATGGAAGATGTGAATTAAGCATTTGCCTGAACACATTATTTGAGTTACATACATCCTTTACATAGATATTTTCATTCTGCCCTTTCGTCTCTAGGTCTGGTCATTACACCTAAAGTCAAAAGTAAGTTCAAGCAAATCTATGACATGATGAAGTAGGACTTTCTCACACATGAGATCTTTTTTGCATGTAATATCCTTCTATTAAAATTTAATTCAATCTAAAAAAATTTTTTTTCCTAAAATACCCAAGTGAGCATTGGCTTGAGACTTAATTTGACTTGTAACCTTAAACACTGGAGAATTCATGACAACCCCTCTAGTATTCTCTCATGATTAAGAAGCTACAACAAAAAACCCTAAACCAAACATAAAGGAGATGATATCTTTCTTCTCTCCCCACCTGGGAAATGCGAAAATACAAAGTATTTCCATCAGGCACAATCATGAAAGGAAAACAAAACAAAAAGGAAAGTAAGAGGTCACTGGTCACAGATATACTAAAACTAAAACATAAATAAAAGGGTCAACACACACACACACACACACACACACACACATAAATTATTTATTCAGGAAAACATTAACTTCTGGTTTCTTTTGTTAAGACAATGATATGAAACTGGTTCAGGGGCCAATTTTAAGCCCTCAGCTTGGTCTTCTCAAGTGACTAGAATTGCTACATAATGATCATCTATGGGAATTTGTCATAGTGGAATACAAGCAGATTGGAGAATAATTATCTTCTCTTCCAAAAGTTCTAATAACAAGTAATTGTGTTCTTATAAATGTTTGTTTTATATATTACACAAATCAATTTTATACTGAATATGGCCTGAAATTAACATGATTGCTAATTTAGTAGTCAAGCACTTGGTCTTGCAATATTCTGCATGCATTGTCAAGTTTCACATTGCTAATTTTCCAACAAGCAGTTTTGTTGTCAAATGCCCCAAGGCCAGTTACTGAGACCAAATATAAACTTTGTAAGAAAGAAACTCCGAGCAGCAAGCAAGTTTAAACTAACACAACAGCATCAAGGTTCCAGTGTACACTGTATCTCGTCTAATTTTACATTTCTATTCTCCTATGTACTTACCAGTTTTTGTCATATAGTTTTCATTTTGATGAGTCTGAGTTTTCAGGAGAATACCCAGTCTATTAATCATAGAAGACTTCTCATATCTACTCTGGTCAGTCTAGCAGGGTATGTTTATCCTATATGTTATGAACAATATAACTTTTCCCAAAAAGCTTGCCTTTTAAAACCCTAACAAACATACATTTTGTTAGAATACAATATATGCTTGTTAAACAAATATACGTTTGATAATCATGTTTATATAGGGTGGTAGCAAACTCAATAAGTACTGATTTGAAAGTGAAAATACCTTAAGTTTATACATGCCATGAACAATTCATCAATGTCATTCATTGTTTTGCAAAGTATTATCTTCTCCAAGTGAAGCGTAATTTATAAAACTGAAGAAATGTAACAGTCATGTTATGGGCAAATATATTTATTCACTTTTATGGAAAGGGGAACTTTTATAACAGAATTGTGTGATATAATTCTGCCTGGAAGAATGAAAGATTGCAAGGACAGACCTCTTTGGGAAAGAGAAAGCCTACTTCTGTTTTAGAGGTGGTAATACATATGCATACACACGCAGAACTATTAGAAAGAAGCTACAGTAGCCTAGAAAGGTCACTGTAAATGCTTATTATTAAAGTAACTAAAAATAAATCAAACCTTCCTTGTAAAGAGATCCACTTTTTTTGATATTTTGCTTTAGGTGGTAAAATAGGCACAAGCCTCACCTTTCCTTGTCAATAAAGATTTTGTTAGTCAGTGGTAAACTGTTCAAAATGAAAGATGATGGAAGCATCTCTTTACTCATTAAAGAAATGTAATGCAGTGAAATCTGAAAAATAATTTCTTTTTTTTGTATTACATTTTAAATAATTTATTTATAATGAGAGTTACAGCTTTCCTCCTGGAAGATGTTATAATAATGCATTTTTTCAGAGCAATTACGTCACAGTTTATAAATGGGTATTAGCTACCTACCAAGATACTCCTTTCCCATCTCATTAGAGTAAAATTAAGTTAGGTAAATCACACACTATGCAACGTAAAAATAACCTCTTTGGTTAAATTAGCCCTTTTAAGTTAATTTAATCCATCAGGTAAAATGCAACAAAGTATTCATGTCAGGAATATAAGACTATATATTGTCACTTTTAAATGACAAGGTAATTTAGAGCTACTTTAAAGTTTACTGATTGAATGTTGAGTTACAAATCTTCATTCTGAGAAGCAGTTATATTTAAATATATTAGAAATCTGCTTCTTCAAGTCTGTTCAAGGCTTGAAATAACAGACAAGGACTCATACTTATACTCTAAATAACTTTATATGTATCACTGGTTGCTATGGCAGTTGACAACACTGAAAACCATCACATATAATAAGGTTAGTGCACATAATCACAGAGAAAGCCACATAAAACATTAATCCCCCCCAAAATGAGCATGTAGTCCTTTTTAACAAATACTCTACATAGTATAGTCAAATCTATCCAAAAGATAGATCAAAATTTACTTCTGAATTTTAAACCTTTGTTTTTAACTAATATACAAACCTAGAGGTAAAATACAGGATTTTTTTTTCAGATTTATTTATAAAACTAAAATATGTGAATTTTATAGTCACCTTCACCTTTCTATACATGCATTGACCCTGAACTATTTCCTCTTTGCTAGCTCAAAAACAACCAACATGAAGTTATTCTATACTGCAATTTAAAATTTATAAAGAAAAACAGTGGAAGTTATACTTGACTAGGTTTTATCCTGCTCAAAAAAATATAATAAATGAGTCAAATACTTGTTTTAAAAAACTTCTTATTGTCCCATTTAGAACATTTCTACATCACCTGATGGGAAGGCTTTTTGAGAGATAATATATTATATTGCAGGCTTATTGCAAACAAACAAGTATACTTTATCATCACATTTAAAGCTGTAAAATTCATAAATGTTTCCCAATATCCCATAATTGGATTTACTTCTAATTATCACTGTGTGGCAAAGTACTTTATTAGGGAGATTTGGGTTTGCAGTAGTCTTGCACATTAGCACAAAGTAAATGAATCTTTATTATTTTTTAAGGAAACCGCAAAATCTAGAGTTTTGATTTGTGTTTAACTATTTCACCAGTGGCCCAAATCTTGATTTGGGTCATTCTCCACTCCTCCTCCTCCCCCTCCCCGTCCCTGTTTTGAGTTTCCAATTATTTAGTCATTGTTCGTTTAAAACAACACCGAAGCATCTTCATGGCCTTATTATGCTTAGCCTCTGCTTAGAAATCTTACTGACATTAAAGGCAGGAAATGAGTCTTGGGTTACCCAGTTGGGACAAATCCTTAGGTGAGGATCTAGGATGGGAAAATTACAGGGATGTTCCTGAGGTTGTTGAGAAAGTTGGGAGGGCTTGACTTGAGAAATCTCACCTTTTGAGCTGCTTTGGAGGGACTCTTGTTTTTGCTGCCTTTGGGTCTTCCTCTTGGTCTCTTAGGAGAGGGCTCACCGGTTGGCTCCTAATGGTAGAGAGAGAGAGAAAAAAAATGCTGTTGTGGCAAGAATAGCTGCAAAAAATTGACCCTAACTCTATAGTTATATTTTCTGCATGTACTGAGCTGAATACATTCAGGTCCAGCATAAATGGTGATGATGGTACAGTTTACAGAAAGGGAAAATAACTATATTTCAGTCTAAGAGTTCAAAGAGGAAAATGTATTTTATATATGAAAACTAGGTTTTACTTCAATACTGCAAAGGTAACAAAGGGCCACAAGGTTGCATGGTTTGAAAAGAAAGTCATACATTTTAAGGTGAAAAAGTTGCATGGTTATGCATTTGGCAACCCATAGAAATAGTGAGCATTTTACACAAATACTACTAGTCATTATACTAGCATTTCAAACAACAGAAATATGAAGCTAACATCATAAATATTTCAGCAATCATCTCTATTGAAAAGATGGTTTTTAATCATCTCTATATATCTGCACTGTGGGTCAATTATGGCTCAATCAACACGTTGAGTGAAATATTGGAGCAATTATCCAAGTTCTTCAACTCAAAATAACTCCATTCTCCTTAAAATTTCCAAATAATTATGGTAAATCTGTTGTGGGAGGTTTTGCTTGAATTATCTAGATAATTGCTTCAATTCTCCACTTCCTTTTGGAGATGCAGCCATGGTCTCTAGTCTAAACTTAAATACCTTTTGATAAAAATGAACAATCTCTCCAAAACTTTCTTCTGAGAAAACTCCTATCGGAGTGAACTGGAGAAAACTAAAAAAAGGGGGTGGAGGGGAGTGAGAAGGAATGGAAGTGTCTGAGAAAGAGAAATTGAAACTATCAATAGGTTTAGCAAAACTTTAAATGGCTTCTATGCCAAGTAGTAAATACCCAAGTGGTTAAGAGAATGCGATGATTAATATTCCAGGTCCTAAATATTTATCCAGTGAATCACAAATTTACATTTCATTCAGACTCGGTGATTAAATGAGAATAATTAACTTTAAAACTTATGAAAGCCTTCAATGGAAATTCACATCCCATTTAGAGAATCTGGGGAAGGTTCCTGGAAGCTTCTGGGGGACCACTAGCGCCGGTGGGCACATCCGGAGCAAACACATCGGAGACACATTTTCTTTTCTTTGTGAACTCTGACTTAACTCAAAGGTAAAACCTCCAGTCACCTTCAGACCCCGCTGCAATTTCTTCTGGATTATTTTTTGGAGGTGGGAGGCAATTAGAAGAACGAGGGAGAGCTGGGTGGCGGGTGGGAAACAAGGGCGGGGGGGAAGGGCAGAGACTTCCTGGGAGGTGTAAAACAGGATCCTAATGCGGTATAAAGTGTCGCTTGGGCAGAGCGGGAAAACTCAGGGGCCTCTAGATGGGCTTGTTTCCTTTGATGATTTCAAAAAGGTACAACCCTCTAAGTTTTTCCACAAACGCGCTGGAGAGCGAACATTGTTCGATTTCCCCACCTTGCTTTCGGGCAGCTTTGGGACTCGAGGATAGTTTTCGAATCCGCCTATTTGCCATGAAGGAAGCGCTTTAAGTCTAAGGAGCCAAGGAGAAGTTTTAAAGCCCGCGGGAAGCGGAGTTTAAATGTTCTCAATAGACATGTCCCTCTCCAGCCCTGCCCGCCAAGGCTTGGAAATTGCAGCGAACAAAACCCCCCGCCCTGGGCGCTGCGCGCAGCTCTACAAGCGCCGGCTGCACGCTTAATTGGTTGCATCCGCAGACAAAACCCTCCACTCCGCGGGGTCCCGGGCGCCCCTCAATCGTCCCCTCCCAACCCCCAGCCAATGGTCCGGGAGTAGTACATTTAATGTCTGCAGCTCTGAGGCGCAGGATCCAGGGGCAAAAAGGGGACTGGGTGCCTGGCGAGGAAGTGGCCCTAGCTACGGTGCACCCTCCCGGACACTACTCTCCATCGCGCCCTTGGCCAAACAAGCTAATCCCATCCTGTGCGGACGCAGGCTCTCCTGCAGCCCCTTTCCCGGAACACCTAAGAGGACCTGGCGGGCCCACGAGGTCTTTGTCGGGAAGGCGCGAGTCTCCGGCAACCGAGAACTTGGGGAGGGCGCCAAGGGGGCGGCTGCGGCGTGCCAGACCCGGGCCCGCAAGCAGCCCCGGTTGGCGGGAGACAGAGCCAACGGCCCCCGGGACTTCAGCCCCTCCAGCTCTGCCTCGCAGAGCACTCCTGCCCCTCGGCACTTCCTTCCCCCGAGGCAATTGCAAAGCGGCTAGGAAAGCGTCTGGCGAGCCCTGGATTGTCCGACCCCGGCCGCTTCCAATCACCGGGAGCCACCGCGCCACTCAGGGCTGTGCACAATAGCGAAAGTCCGAGGACGCGCTTCGCCCGACCCCACCTCCCGCCTCCACCCGGGAGCCCAAGAATCTCCG